TGAACTATGCATTTTAAAAGGGTGAATTTTATGGTTGTGAATTATATCAATTTAAAAATTGGGAAAAGTATAAGAAAGAAGTACCAGTTAACCAGGAGGCTATAATTGAGTTATCTATGCTGAGAATAAGCTTCTCAATTTGTTGTGGCCCCAGTTCCCTTATCTGTAAGAGATCTACTTCATAATCTCTTCTTTCTTTGAAATACTTTAAGCAAATTATGAAACAATTTCAAAACTGAGACATACCTTTTAAATTTACTAATTTATTCCACAGAGTAAATGCCAAGGCCGAGGTGGGTTATGTCTCTGTGGAGAGCATGGCCCTGGTGCTTCCTCAGATCCAACGCAGGTAAAATGGCCCCATGAGCATCTACTTCCAACAAGTTCCATCCCCAGGATCTTAGAGCTGGTCAATGACACAGCCAGGCCCAGGGAATTATGTAGCCACTGACACATCATGAGACTCACTTCCCCCGCTACTGGGAAAGTTCTACATGAATTAAAACCCACTGTCACATGTTCTTTGAAAAAAATAAGTTACTTTACAAAAATGACATTGTGCAATATAAAAACAAATATTGCACAGCCTCTCATCGAATGTTTTTACATAGAAGTGACGTGTGCAGTGCAGGTGTTTCAAATGCCTTATAGGTGAGAAAAAAAATGGAGCTAAGACCAACTCGTTCTTTATCATTATCACATCATCATCCTTGCCTTTACCTTCCTCCTTGTCTCCTCATCCTATCTACCTTCCACCTCTTGCTCCTTTTTCTTGCCTTTTTCAGTCTTGCCTACCTCTTTCCACCCGCATCCGGCTGCACATTCTTTGATTGCTTCTTCATGTGACAATGGTTTTATAATATCATTTTCTATACAGAGAATAGAGAGATTATTCAGCCTTTCCTTCAACATGGTTGATCAAAACTTGTTTTGTACCATTGATAATTTAAGGAAATTTCTTTCAGGCTCACAACTCTATTGGAAATGTCATGTACATTTTTAGAATTGATGTCAAATTTGAGGAAACCTCAATCAAGTTTCTTTCATCTGTGGGTTGTAAAAAACTCAAGGCATTTTGAGTTTTCTTGGTTGGTGACTAAATTTAAATATTTTTTAATTGACAAGTTTCATTAAAAATTGTGTTGATGATGTTGAGTTCTTGTTATAGTGGCATATTATGAATTTTATGCTATCTTTGTGGATGCATCAGATTTTTGTATCAGATCAGCAAAAAATTTAACTCTTTTCCCAACATGTTCATGTAATTTACCATTATTCATTGGTGGAATTATTAAACCATGCAAGAGTCCTTTACATAAATCTATTAGAATATTTTCTTCTTCTTTTAATAAACCACTTTTTGGTTTGATCTAGATACATTTGTGGTTGTAATTGTCTTCTCAATGTCAGAATCATCTAAATTTATATCATTGTTCATCATTATTGCTTATGTTTTATATTTCATTTATTTAAAATATATTCCACTAAATCCAAATGAAATTATACCTTTAGATAGGACTGATCCCAACATGCCAATAAATGCCACCCAACACTCCCATAAATGCCACCCAACACAAGAGTCAGAATAGAAAGAGATAATGGTCATAACCAATTGTTAAAAGTGATTTACTTTGGCAAATTAAAAAAATAACTGGACCATATAGATATATTTCTAGGGTTTCCCCCAGGACCTTAGAAGGGGCTCATATGAGAGCGGAAAATTGAAGCTTAAACTTTATTGTTTCCATAGTCTATCAGCCACTGGTGGTGTGCTCTGGGTACACATGTGCTTTTCTATGAGCACATATGTATAAAGACATACACATATGTCTCTGTGGAGAGCATGGCCCTGGTGCTTCCTCAGATCCAATGCAGGTAAAATGGCCCCATGAGCAAAGAATGTTCCATCTACACTGCAAGTGAAGTCGGACTCAGCCAGTTGTCCCCCTTGAGGGGACTGAGATAAGGGACAGGCTAGGAGGGGACCTCCAACTCTATCCTCGATGCTGTGATCCAATCTCCAGCTGCTTCCATCCCTCCTGACTTTTCTCACTTCTTCTCTCCTGACGTCCTCTGCAGAAGACATAGAGCAAGGCAGCTAAGAGGGCAGTCTCTAGAGCCCTCTGCCTAGGTTCAAATCCTGGCTCATGACCTAAGCTGGTCTAATTAGACTTCTTCCCTGGGAATTTTCTAACTGGGATTTAATGGTAAGATCCAGGGTAACCCATGAGTTTCTGGAGAAAACCAATATAGAGTAGGAAAGAGAGAAGCCAAGCAGAGACAAGAAGCAGGTAGCCTAGAAGGGTGAGAGGGGCTCTAGCTCCCAAGGCCCATAGATGCTGTGGTGCTTATAGCTGTACTTCCAGATATGAGCTGCCCCGTGAACTTCCAACACACCCGCTTGTGGGCTTTAGGCTAGTTTGAATGAGGCTTCTGTCATGAAACATTCTAGACTAGGTGTGTCCCCTTACCTGCTTTTCCTCCTGAGGTCCCTATGTGTATAATGGCACCACCACTTAATCAGAAGCCAACCATGGCCTGAAGTCAGAAGCAAACCAGAGCCTGGAGTCACCCATGGCTCCTGCTTTGTCTTCACTTTCTAGGGTCTCCATACACAAGGCACTGTGAAGTTATGCAAGTTGTCCACTACACAAGCGCACCCAGCTCAGGAGGTGAGTGAGGACTGAAGTCCAGCCTGCTCTCTGCCTGCCTAGTCATGATCCCTGGTGCAGGGCCATGTCTCAGGAGAGAAGAGGTACTTTTTTCTAATTACACATTGACCCCTTATATGATACTGGGAACCTCTTCATGTGTAGAATCACTTCCCTTGGTGCAGAAATTGTGCCTCCTCTGTCAACCTGCTTGCCTTCTCACTCCTCATTACCACCTCTGCTTATACCTTTTGCCTTTCCTTGTGGTATTTCTCATCATTTATAACACTATTTATTCACTTGATTCTTCATCTCACAGCTACTTCCCTAGCGGATTTTAAGCTGTGTAAAGGTAGAGACTGTGCCCTCAATGTTCTCTGCTGTGCCCTCAACACCAACATATGATTTAGCCCGGGTCAGTTCAGGATATGTCATAGCTCCTCTAAGCAGCCCCAGTGGCGTCCTGAAAGATCTCCGTCTCAAGTCTTGTCTCCTACCTATTCTGCTAGCCCAAACTGGCCTTTCTAAAGTACAGAATTATTTATATCCTTCCCCTGTTTAGATTCCTGTATGGCTCCCTAATGCCTTCAAGATAAAGTCCAGATGAGTTCCATTGTGGTCCTGCCTCTGCCATTCCCCTATCTTCCTCTGACCCCTCCCCATGGGCATATGCAGTTCCACAGAGGCAGTTTTCTTTCTCTCACCCCTGGATCATTGCACCTGCTGTTTCCTCAGCTCTCTACTTGGCCCCTCTTTCCGGACAAACTCCTTCAAAATACTCATTAAATTTACCTGCTTGTCTATATCTACCCCAGATTAGTTAGGGAATCTTCCCCTTTGCTCACCTGGTGTTCCCCTGCTACTTGCATGTCCAGTACAGCACTTAATTCATCGGGATATAACCAGCTGCTAAAAGGTCCCATCCTTCCCAAATGTTTGTGTGCTTCCTAAGGGCAGGAACTGCATCCAACAGTCTCTGTTTTCACCCAGCACAAGATCTGGCATCTGTGGAATAAATCAATTCATAACTGGGCCCCAGGGGGTCTCAAAAGGGTATAAAGAATCCCAAGGGACATGTGGGGAAGTGGCCAGAAGACAAGCAGAGGATCATTAGTAACAGAACAGCTCTGGGCAGCTCCCCAGGGACCCTGTGTTGGGAAAAGCAGAGAATGGATCCTCAGACGTGTAATGAGGATATTCCTTCTGGCATCACATCTTGCCTGCATTCCTGAGGGTCCCCTACTTGGCAAACAAAGCCCTTGAAAGTGGGCCTGTAGGGTTTTCAGGAAGAATATTTGTGGGATGGGATGTAGGAGGTACTGAGGTCTGACGGCACATGTGTGTTGGGGGTGGGGAGGTGGCATGTGAGTGGGGGAGAACCCTTGCCAGACCATCCTTCAGGGCCTTGTACCCAGGGGAGGGCACAGATGCCTCTGTGTGTGTGTGTGCGTGCGCACCTGTGTGCATTGTGACTGCATTATCTACTCTTGTTTCCTAAGACAGAGCTCAAACGACAACTTCTCCAGGAAGCCCTCCCCAACACCCAGGCTAAATAAATGGCCCCTCCTCTGCCCTGAGAGAGTTTAAGCCTGATGAAGAGTACCTATGCCACCTGTGATGATGCTGACCCTCATGCCGCTCTGCTCACAGGCTCTGAGCTCCTGTCCTCTTATGGGATCTGATAGTGTCAGGATGCTCTAGGTGCTGGGTTACTGGCTGGGTGGAGGTGTCTGTGCCTGTCTGGCCTCCTATGCTGCCTCTTTGCAGTTACACCTATTACTAATGGCCTGTAAGTGCCAATGAGCTTACAGCACATCTCTGCACCCTTTTAGTTTTTCCTCCAAATGCTGTGAGCACCTTATCACATCCTCTACACCCATGAGTATACTACCAAGTGGTGCCTGGGCCACAAGCTTCCCGTGGTTCTTCTGGTTATCACACCTGGGTTCACTCACTGTATATGGAGGAGATGATTCTCAATCTTGAAGGAACTTCAGAATTACTTGGGGAGTTTTTGAAAAAATACCAATACCTGGCCCTGGGTATTTGGGGTCAGAGATATTGGATCAGAATCTCTGGTGGGGCAAGCTCAGACATAGGTTTTAAAAATACTTATATCAACCTGTGCACCCTTTCATAAGAGCCACTGACCTGTGTGATGATGTAGTCAAGGTCAGAGGAACCTCACTACATATTGGAGAAATTTGCACTTCTCTTTCCTTCCCTAGGCAGCAGGCTTTCTCCTTGCAATCCGCCGGCCACCTACAGGGGTCGCTGACGGACTGCTGGCCCAGCTTGCGGATTTTCCTCCGGATCCCACTCCCATGCCCAGGGAAAGCTGGAGCCACAGCAGTATAAATTAGCGTCTTTATTTTGAACACCTGAGCGAGCGCCCGCGGCTCGCCCGCCTGCGGTATAAACGTACAAAGTCCCTGTAGCACCACACACCATGCCTCAGAGATAAATACAGCCCTAGGGGCTCCTGCTCTGGCAAAGCAACTCTTATTTACAGGAATAGATTACAAAAGTATTACAAAAAGTGGTCCTGAACCGGGGAACTAGATGAGGGTGGAGTGGGTTACGGTTACACCTGCTACAATTGGGACGGGAATGCACCTGGGCCTCACGCCCCTCAAATGACCGATGCATCCAGGAGCAGGGCTTAGGTCTGCTAGGGTCTCACCCCCATGGGGGAGGGCGCAAGAAAGCTGAACCTAGCCCTAAAGATTCAGCCCTGGCCCACCGAGGAACACTGAGCGGCCATCGCAATGGGGCTCCAGGAAGGGTGCTGTGCGGAAAAAAACCGCGCTGTGTCCTTGCCCTGGGGGGCGGGGGGCGGAAAACTTCAGTTATCTAGCCTCTCCCACCTCGGGAAGGGTCGCTTTTAAAGCGCTGTTGGGAGGGGGCATTTAAGCTCAATCTTTTGGACGCGAGGGACCCTAGGGGCACCATCCCTCGGGCGGGTGTGTGGCCACCCGCCCCTCAGAGCACCTGGTAGATCGGGTTGGGGTTCGCACCCGCAGGGCACTGCGGGGTGGCGTCCGGGGACTGGGTGGGGTCGCCGCTCTCTCCCTCGCTGGGGGCGGCAGCCTCTGGCACGCGCGGAGGCGACTCCGGAGGCGCCTCCGCCAGCAGGAGCGCGGGCGCCGAAGGGCTCTCGGTGGAGATGCGCTCCACGATGCTGGATAGGCAGTCTAGGCTCGACACCGCCACATTCTTCCCGGGCCTGGGTTCTGCGCGGGGAGGTCTCGGTTAGTAAGCAGGGGTGGGGCCGCGAACAAGCCTCCCACCCCGGGGCCCAGTGCTTTGGGACAGATTGGAAACTGAGGACCTGTCAGAGTCCGGGACGATTGAAAGGAGAGGGAGCTACTTGCTTAGCATTTCATCGCCTGCACCACCTCCCGGGACAGAAGCGTGTGTGAGTGGGGGTGGGGGCGTCCCAGATAGAGGGAAGCCAGGACAGCTCCAAGGAGGACGTGGGGAGCAGAAGCGAGCAGGGTGAAGCCCGAATACCCACCGCTGGGCGCCTCGCTGTAGTAGGCGCCTTCGTAGCAGTTCCGCCGCCGGGCTCCGCTCGGGGGGCCGCTGTAGTCCATCTGCAAACAGCAAGGGCGACTGAGTCAGGCCAGCGGGACGGCGCGGGACCCGAACACCACTCCCTGTAGCTGCCCCCTCCCCAACTCTAGTCTCAGCATCGAGTTCCAGGCCCATATCTGTCATGGTTGGGGGGTAAGGGTGGGTAGGAGATGAGGTCTGCAACGTGCAGAGCCAAACCAAGGGCGGGCAGTCACCAAGGGGCACAAATCTACATTTTGGAAGTAGGGGTAAGTAGAGAAAAAGATCTTCACGTCCGCGCTGCGACTCAAACGCTTGCCCGCACGCTTCCAAAGCAATTCGGTTACCCCAGTGACAGCTGCTCAGGACACAGGAGTCCTCTTTCGGGAAGGATCCTGGCCCAGACTTCCCGGAAGGATAGCTCCCTGCCCGCGGAAACACGTCCCAGATGTCCCAAGCGCCGCCCTCACGTCTACTCCCGCCGGGGGTCCAGGCCTTACCATGCCGTCGGAGCAGTTGGAGCGCGGACTGGACGCGTCAGAGTCGCCGCTGTAGTGCTCGCCGCTGCGGCCTGGGGGCAGAGGGCCCGGCGCGTAGAAGGCGGCGGCTGCGCCAGGGGGGGCGGCGTCCTGGTCACGCAGCAGAGCCTGTAGGCCCTCGATATAGCGGATGGCGTTGCGCAGGATCTCCACCTTGGGCAACCGCTGGTTCGGGTTGCTCGACGTGCAGCGCTTGAGTGTCTCAAAGGCCTCATTTACTTTGCTCAGGCGGCGCCGCTCGCGCATGGTGGCAGCCTTGCGGCGGTCAGCGTTGGTGGTCTTGCGCTTGCACGCCTTGCAGGCCCACAGTAGGCAGCGGCCCGCCTGGTGGTGCCCGCTGGGCGCGCGCACATGCTCGTCCTCACGCGCGCCCGGGGCCGAGTGCGCTGCCGCGGGGAAGTGCGAGTGCTCTTCGGGTTTCAGGAGCGCGCCCACGTGCATCAGGCGCGGGTCCAGGTCCTCGAAGAAGCGCAGGTCCGGGGAGTCGAAACACGGGTCGTCATAGAAGTCGTCCGTTGTGGCAAAGGAGCAGAGAGAGCCGTCAGGGCCCGTCAGGTCTACATCGCGGAGCGGTGGTGACAGTAGCTCCATATCCTGGCAGGGACGCGGCACGGTCCTGGCTTCGCCCAACCCAAGCGGCAGGAGGTGACCGGAACTTTCTGCCGCTCGGGAGCACCGGCTGTAAATAGCAAAGTGCTGCAAGTCTGAATGCACACCCAACTGTCCCCACCCCTCCCTGTCCTGTCCCACCTGATTTGTGGTAAGAAAAGTGGAGGCAGCGCGCTGGGTCTTCCTCACCCTTAGCTTCGCGCCTGGCGCCCTGGGCTATTTATCGGTAGTAGCCTAAACGCCCCGAGCCCAGTCGGGCAGCTAGGGGCGGGGGAGCCCGAGGCCAATAGAAACACAGCAGGGCGGGGCTTGGGGTCCTCTGGGTGGCCGCAGGGGGCTGTAGAGTGGCCAGCACGAACGCCCGTCCCTCGACACTGGCGCGCGCGCTCCGTCCCCTACCGGGCAGGGAGGGAGGGAGCGACCCGCAGTCCGGGCGGCTGCACTTGGCTCCCGGGCACGCCCTTTTCGAACCTCTCCAACACTCGACTGCTGTGTCCGCTGGAAACGTTGGCTGCGCGCGCTCACCACTGAGCTGTCGTTGAGTACTCTTCTGTCCCCTGCTTTGTGGGGGACCCAGGGTTAGAGCGGGTGTAGAAATCAGGTCGCGAGAGATTTGGAGAGAGGCAAGTCACTGGGGGCACAGAGCTGAGAGAGTGAGACGGTGAGAGAGGGACTGAAAGAGGCTGAGAGACACGCAGAAAGCAGAAAGCTTAGAGCGTCAGGGGCAGAGAAACGCAGGCAGCAACAGGCGGAGAGACCCCGAGAGTTTAAGTGGGTGAGACCGAGACAAACGAGTCGTGGAGGCTCTGATACTCCACCAGTCCCCAACCTGGGGGTTGCTCAGGGGCTCCTGGGCCCAGTCCTTCTTCCCTAGAAGCTTAGAAACCCAGTTGCGGCTATACAGGAATCGGGCATGGCTGCTAAAGCTTCACGCCAATCTCTCCAAACTCGGATCCTGCGCAGGTTAGGAATCCTGTCCATCTCAATCTGCACGTTTCCACAGCAGGGGTGTCCAGTGCCAGGCCTGGGGTCTAGGCTGAGCTGTCTCTTCAGCTGGGAAGAAAACTCTTCTGCTCAGGGCTTGGCTCCGCTTCACCCGCGGGTGCTGAGTCAAGGAAAGCGCATTTCGCCAAGGTCGCAAACTTCAGGACCTGGCCTGAGAATCTGACCTCGGAGTGAAGTCTCTGAGAGTTCCGTTTGCAGATCAATTGAGTCCAGATTCCAGGTTTCCCAACTTTGTGATTTTGTAGAAGTCGTGTCTCCTTCCTGAGCCTCAGTTTCCAGTTATAGATTTGGGGATGACAGTAATTTATTGGAGTAATTGTGGTGGGGATGAAAGTCTGAAGAGACCAAGGATGTGGAAGCCCTTAGGCGGTGGTGTAGGTTATGTGAGCAACTGGGCTTTCAGAGTTGGATGTGATGTCCCGCAGGCTTACAACTGGTCCATGGCACCAAGCCCTGACAGAGTCCCACATAGTCTCCAGGCCCCAGCTGTGTCTCTTTCCTACAGCCTCACTGGAAGGGCTGGAAACAGGAGGAGGCAACCACCCCATGGGATATGGGATCTCTGGCTCCAGTACCAGCCTCAGCCTACCAGCCACCCCCTGGGGGCCTCTCAGCCTCTTCCTGAATCTGCAGTTCACACAGTCCTCTGGGCACTCTGGGTAGGAATCTTCGTTGACCATACATCCCGGCCTGGATCTCCTCTCTTGGAAACCAGAAAGTTAAGCAGGAGTGATCTTTGTGTCCCACTAACTTCTGGAAGCCATCCTAGCTGGCCCTTCTGGGCCCTGAGAAGTCCTCATTTCTCACCAAACCCAGAGCGCTCTTTTGTGGTCCTACCTTTTCGCTTCTCTGCTGCTGGTAGTGGTGCTGCAGGTCTCCCTTCATGGAGTACTCACCTCGCTTTACTCCACAGGACCACCTTCATTTGTTCATTCAGTAATGTCTGTGTGATGGAGCAGCAGTGATGGTAACTCTAAATCCTGCCAAAGGCAGGAAAGTCCTGGTCTCACCCCACCCAAACTGCAGGGGATCACCCAGAAACTCACATATTGTTAAGTATCTATTATATGTCACGTGTCAGTCCAAGTGTGGGGCTAGAGCAATGAACAAAACCAAGACTCTGCTTACATGGCACTTACACTGTAAATGTAAGCAGGGTGACAGAAGAGAAACTAATAAGGAAGTACATGATACCAGGATGTTAGAAGTTTTATGAAGAAAAAGCCAGGCAGGGAGACACAGTGATGAAGATTATGGAGTGGATAGGGAAGGCCCATCTGTGACATTAGAGCAGAGACCTGAGTGAAGAGAGGTGGAAGCAGATATCTGGAGATATGCAGGGCCAGATAGAAGGGTAAGCATGTGCAGAGGTCCTGGGACAGGATTGTGTTTGGCAGACTTAAAGTATAGCAAAGAGGCTGATATGCCTGCAGCAGGGTGAGTGAAAGGGATAGTGGGAAATGGGGTGAGAGAGAAAAGGGTTGTATTGTGAGATGGAAAACTACTGGAGGGCTTGAGCAGAAGAGAAGAGTGTCACCATCTGACTTACATTTTAACAGGAGCGTGCTGGTTACTGGAGGGAAAGGGCAGAAGCAGGGAGACCAATTATTAGGCTATTGCAGTAATCCCAATGAGTGGAGCTGGTGGAAAGTGGTGGTTGAATTCGAGATCTATGTTTTCAAGATGGAGCTAGCAATATTTACTCATGATTGTATGTGGGAAGTGAAATAAGTGAGGAGCTAAGGATGACTCCTGGAAGAATGGAGTTAGGAAGAGCAGGTTTGTGGGTGGTAGATCAAGTGTCCAGGTTTGGACAAAATTTGAAACGCATATTGTACACCCAGATGAAGGTGTGGAGTAGGCGGGGAGAATTTTGAGGCTGGAGTTCCTGAGGAGAGGTCTGGGCATGAGGAAGAGCTGCTCACTCTACCTCTAAGATCTGTGTCAAGTCTGTCCATCCCTAGCGTCACCATCCTGGACTAAGCTGTCACACTGCTGCTCTGGATTGCCAGAATAACCTGGCTGCCCTCCTCACTTCCTCTCTAGTCTGTATAATCCATTTGCTACAATGCAGCCTGAGTAGACCTTTAGAATGTAAATGGGATGATCTCACCCTTCTGCTTCAAACTTTCCAGCAGCTGCTTCTTGCATTTATAGTAAAATCTCATCTCCATACCCTGGCCTATCAGGCCCTGCATGAACTGGCCTCAGCCTGTGTCTCCTACCACACCTGGAGCCACCATTCTTTTTGATTCCTCCACTCCAGTTAGCCTGACCTCTTTTCTTGTCTTCTAAAACTCTGAACAGGATCCTGCCTTGGAGTTTTGTCCTTGCTGCTCTAAAATCATAGCATAGTCATCTGGGCTTTCCCCAAGATTGGCTGCATTTTATATAATAGAACTTCTTGCCTCCTCGGGACATCTCCGACTATTCCCTCTAAGATAACTGCCCCCCATACTCTGGGTCACATCACCCTGTTCATTTCCTTCCAGGCACTGCCACTCTTCATAATCTTCTTCATTAGTTTGCTCATGACTGACTTAGCCCCATGAAGGCAAGGACGTTTTGTTCACAATGACATTTCCAGAAACCATCACAGTGGCAGTCACACAGTAGGCCCCTGATAAATGTCCAATGAATGAATGAGTGGCCTCATGCCCTTTGGAACTCTATGCATATATTTGAACTTCTTGAACTGTGACATTAATGAGGATGGTTGTATTTCTTCAAAACTGGGCAGTCACATACATGATTAGACATCCATGTTCTATTGCACTTGCTCTTCCTAGGCAAGACTCAGACCCATCTGCCTAGGGCATCTTCTCTTTTGTTGGGCATTATACATGGCATGCTGCAATATTGTAGTGATATACTATAGAGAGATTTGGCATTTATGATGTGTCTTCTTCTTTTTTTTTTTTTTTGTACTATATTCACAATGAGGAATGTAAGTAATTTTTGTATTAATGATTTAGAAACAAATACTTCTTCGTACTTGCTCAAGACTCAGCACAAAGCCTGTCGCGTAGTAGGCACTCAATATTTCTTGGGTGAATGAATGAATGAATGAATGAGTCTACTTAATTGAAGAGCACTCAGAGATTCCCAGGTGAGCTATTCAAACCACTTATCTATGCAAATCTAGATTTTCCCCAAATCTGAATAAGCAAGAAACTACAAAATAAATTGGATGCTGAGACAAGTGATTACAACTTTGCTTTTTGTGTTTTGTGTTCACAAAAACTTCCTCAGGACTGTCATCAAGTTGCCTTTACAACAAATAAGTAAATATTACATGTTTGAACTTACCAAACACATTTAATATTTTATCACTTGTGGCTTATAAATCTAAACTGCTTTGACAGTTTTAAGCTTGATTTGTAGCTACATCTTCTTCCACAATTAGGAAGCACTGTTTTAAAGCACACACACACTCTAGTGGTAAAATGCCATCTTTATATTAGGCTTTCAAGTGGGACTTTTGTTTGCTACCAGGCTTCTGTTGCTCGAAAAAAGTTTGGAACTCACTGAACTCGGTGGCCACTTCAGACCCCCTCAGGTCTGGCATCCACGCCTGCCTGGGATTGCCCTTCTGGTTGTGCCTTCTCTAGGAGAGAGGTTTGTCAACACCATCGTCTCATCCATGCTGTCCTCAGAGCAGGGAGAAGTGTGTCTGACCTGGGACATGGTGTCCTTTTAGTTCCAGTGCTGGGTGGGGAGCAGAGGGAAAAAGGACACCAAGTTTGGAAGCCGAAAAAGTTCAAACTCTTACACTGCAATCTAGTCATGGGTACCCCTTCTCCATAGGTGCTGGACTTGTTCTGTGAGGGGCCACCAGCAATGGGCTGAGGAGTTTTGAGGGGGTCCCCGGCAGCCCCCTCACCCCTCAACGCAGGAATGGTAGGCTCTGTGCTTGGGGGCAAGTGCACATCTCGCCCTGGGCCTGGCTTCTGCTGTCCTTACTTTGAGGGGCTCCTTTGTCGGGGAGTTGGGAGGGAGCGCTGCCTGGGCTGCTCCTTCTCCCTCTGCCCTTTCCAGTCCTCCAAACTCAGCCCCCTTGGCCGGCCTGCCCTGGGGCTATAAATGGAGAGCTGGCCTCTGGATAGGAATGCAGGCCTGGCTGGGCCCCCACAGTGTTGTGCCCTCAGGGAGCGGTCCTGGGGCTCCGGGCAGCCTTTATATATATATATAGCCTCTGGAAACCCAATCCAGCCTGCACCTGCCCCAGGCTTCACGCACCCTGCCCCTGTCCAGGCTGGGCCTGTGGCCTCTGTACTTGGGCTGACACAGGCTTCGTATCTGGCCGGGAGGTGGGGAGCACCAAAGGGCCAGAAGGTAAAAGCACAAGTGGGCCTGGTGGGGCATGGCCAGCTCCAGGTCCCCTCTCTGTCCCCAGCCTTTCCCTTCCTGTTCTTGGGTCACCCTGAGTGCCCCCCTCTGTCCCCTGCCAACGTTGCTCCCTGGGAAAGCCTAAATCTGCCCACCACATGGGTATAGATCCTTCTCTGGGCCCAGTCTGGGTTGGTCAGGAGGGACTGTGATATTGCCAGGATATAGACATGGTCCCAGATTAGGGACAGGGTCCTAAAGATTCCCCACAGATGGCCACATGTCCTTTGGGGGTACTCTCCAGCCTCCCACAGACAAGCAGGGCTTGGTAGTCTGGCAGCTGAGCTGGGAGTTGAAGGACAGGGGTCCGTACTGTGCAGGGAGGGAACAGGAAGACAAGCAATGGCATGTCCCTTCCCACCCAGTGTGCAGGGTGTGCGGGTGGGGACACTATTGGGGTGGCAGGGATATTCCCACTCTCAGTTCTCCAGTCTGTGATTCATTCACTCATACAGCAAACATTTATTCAGGTCCTAGGAATGTGGTGGAGAACGAAACAGACCGTGTTTCTTGCCCCTGTGGAACTGACATGCCAGCAGGGCAGGGCAGACAATAAGTAATGCACATAGTAATAAATTATTATATAGATGTTAGAAGATGACACATGCAGAAAAATATTGCAAGCAAACAGATGAGCAGGATTGAGGTGCCAGGGTGGGGCCAGCTGTAGTGTTGAATAGAGTGGTCAGGTTGACAAGGTGACATTTGAGCAAGAAGTTAAAAGGGGCTTGGGAGTTAGCCATGTGGCCATCTGGGGAAGAACGCTTCAGGCAGAGAGAACAAAATAATTATTGAGCACCTTCGATAAGTCAGTCGCCTCTGCTAGAAGCAGAGAATTCTATGAGGACGCAGGCATGGCTCCTGCCCTCCCAGGATACCTTGTGCTGTGGGGGCTGAGGGCGAGGCGTGGAGGTGGCATGAGATAGAGTTTGGGGATAGGGTTTGATAGGCAATTTGTTACTTTTTTTTTTTAATTGAGACGAA